TTACCCAGCTATGCACAGCTTTACTGGATAAACATTTCTCAGCATAAACAGGAAGCATTTCCTTTTAAATATCCTTTGCAGGCAGGGTTTTGTTCCTCCCAGTGTCTTATAAAATGGTATTATATTATTATTTGTTCTCCCCAGTGTCTTACACAATGCTAGTATACTATTATTTGTCCCTCCCCTCTCAATGTCTTACACAATGCTAGTATACTATTATTTGTCCCTCCCCTCTCAATGTCTTACACAATGCTAGTATACTATTATTTGTCCCTCCCCTCTCAATGTCTTACACAATGCTAGTATACTATTATTTGTCCCTCCCCTCTCAATGTCTTACACAATGCTAGTATACTTTTATTTGTCCCTCCCCTCTCAATGTCTTACACAATGCTAGTATACTATTATTTGTCCCTCCCCTCTCAATGTCTTACACAATGCTAGTATACTATTATTTGTCCCTCCCCTCTCAATGTCTTACACAATGCTAGTATACTATTATTTGTTCCTCCCAGTGACTTATAAAATAGTATTATATTATTATTTGTTCCCCCCAATGTCTTACACAAATGTGGCATATTATTATGTGTCCCCCCCTCCCCTCTCCCTGTTTCATACAATGGTAGTATATTATAATTTGTTCCCCCCAGTGTCTTATAAAATGGTATTATATTATTATTTGTTTCTCCCAATGTCTTAGACAATGGTGGCATATTATTATTTGTTCCTCCAGTTTCCAGTCCCAAATTGAAGGTGTGTCTTGTACATGGGAGTGCTTTATACTTGGGGAAATGCAGTATTTAGAAGCATATAATTAAATTATGGCAGAGTGGATTGGGGTGATGCTGTCTGCTTCTGGCTTGAGCAGACCTGGTTAGTCTCACAGCACTGACTGGTTGGATACATACAGAAACAGAATACTATACTCCCCCATGACCCTTAGGTAGTAGACTGGATGTAGAACCCATGTGCACATTAAAGATCCCTCAGTAGTTATAAAAAAAAAAGATCAGGCTGAATGGGCTCCTTCAGAATGAATATTATTTGTATTTATAGGGAAAAGCTACCAACAAAAAATGTACAACCAAAAAAGCTTTAAGACTTAAGGGAAGACTAGAAACAGAATGGATTCTGTCAAAAGTACACAATACAAGCACTGACTAAATGAATGAATGAATTGATGAATACATGAATGAATGAATGAATGAATGAATGAATGAATGAATGAATGAATGAATGAATGAATGAATGAATGAATGAATACACTTTTTTTTTCTCTTCAAACAAGGGGTCCCAGACTGGATAACAGGTCCATTGTACATTGTGCCCTTTCAGACTCTCATCTTTTACACAGCTATAAAGCTTGCTATGTTCATATATCAAAGCATAGATGGCAAACAAATCTCACAATTGAAAGTTTCAACTTTCTCTGACACTTAATGGTAAATGTGGGCCACAGACCATGGTCCATATAGATAATGGATATAAAGAAAATATGGACAGTATACTGCCAAGTCTGACACATGACACTGTCAATACATTTTATAGTGGCAAATAAAGAACACATGATACAGAGGTTATACATATATTTGGTGCATAGGGTGATAACCTGAGCTGTGTTTAAGAAGGGCTGAGTCAGCACTGTGGTCAGCTTTCCTGCCTGCAGCACAGCGGTAATGTGTTTGAATCTACACTAAGGATAGAAAAAAAACAACTTATTTTTCAGGTTATGGAAGGAGAAAATGGGTAACATAATTTGTTCTGGAAAGTAAAAATGCCTGATTTAATATTGACTACATTACCCATCAAGTGCTGATTGCTTGGTAAGAAAACAGCAACAACTGGAAGTAGAGTAATATGTCCAGTTCAGCTCAAGGCGTAGATAATTGTCCTTTCAGACATTTTTGTTCTACCCCATGGTGTGAGAGGTATATTACAATCTTGATTACGTTAATTTCTCCCAGAGAAGAAAATGAAGATTTCAGACCTGATTGTATTAAATTATTTTTTTTAAAAGGCAGACTTGAGAATACAGAGTTGATCATTTTAATATTAAATGACATAAGGGGATGCAAGGGTACTCAGTGACACATAATACTGCACCAGCACCTGGGCTTTTACTGGTCAAGACCTGTCTATAACTTGGAGACAGGATCCCAACCGGGAGCCTCACCAACATAGACAGGAGCCTCACCAGCATAGACGGGAGCCTCACCAGCATAGACGGGAGCCTCACCAGCATAGACGGGAGCCTCACCAGCATAGACAGGAGCCTCACCAGCATAGACGGGAGCCTCACAATCATGGACAGGAGCCTCACCAACATAGACAGGAGCCTCACCAGCATAGACGGGAGCCTCACCAGCATAGACGGGAGCCTCACCAGCATAGACGGGAGCCTCACAATCATGGACAGGAGCCTCACCAACATAGACAGGAGCCTCACCGACATAGACAGGAGCCTCACCAGCATAGATGGGAGCCTCACAGTCATGGACAGGAGCCTCACCAACATAGACAGGAGCCTCACCAGCATAGACAGGAGCATCACCAACATAGACAGGAGCCTCATTGACATAGACAGGAGCTTCACCAACATAGACAGGAGCCTCACTGACATAGACAGGAGCCTCACCAGCATAGACAGGATCAATGTTTTCTGCAGAGTTGGAGTGCATCAGCCTGAGAGGCAAGGAGTCAATAGTTTGTACACAAATAAGCCAGATCTGTAAAACAAATATGCACACCAAACTCAGGTCCTGGAGTAAAACCAAAGTTCAGAAAGGATTAACAACCAGGACTTTCTGCTGGAGTGACATCTGGTGAACGCAAACAAGAAGAATAACACTTAAAAAAAAGTACGCAGCCCCATAGTGGATGCACATATGTACAGATGTATCAACAGTAAAACATACTGATTTTATTCTGATTCTCTTGGTACAAATGTATGATTCTGGTATACACACAACAGGAACTCTCCCTGTGCAGTGGTGTTTGTAGACTATAAAAGAGAGACTGCAACACGCATCCATGTATCAAAGTGTAAATAATATGGTAATTTACTCTCCTTAAATACCATTCTGTGAATATTTTCATAGCAGTTACAAAACTTTTCCTTCTGACAGTCATTGGTCACTGTTTTCATCATTTCTTAAAATTTCATTTCTTCTTGTGGATCAACATCTGTTTTGTTTTTCATATTTACATTTTATAACAGATTTTAAAATTGTAAGCCTGAGTATGACAGTTTACTACTTATACCTTCCTTTCAGATTCTAGTCACATTTACAATAATTCTGGAGCACAAAAAGACAGTGAGAAATTCACCTGGGCTGCTTGTCTTTTTTATCCTGATTCTTCTTACACACATTGTGCCATTTTATACAAAGATCATTTTGCAGGTAAACACCAGTGTTTCTAAATATACACATTGAAATACTTTCTTCCCTTGTGAGTTCCGAGGTCCCATTTTTGGGGTAAAAAAGAATAAACCTACTGCACCCCTAACAAATGGCGACTAATGAGGGGTGTTTTCTTTGAAGTTAAACAGCATCTGCCTAACAGGCAAGGAACCAACAGCTTGCCTACAAATAAGGCAGCAAGGTAAACTGGATGTGCAAGCAAAACTCAAGCTCTGGAACAAGTCTAGAAGTAGATGAACAACCAGAACTTTCTGCTTACGTTTACAGCCGGAGAATGAAAAGAAGAAGAAGAAATGCTTTGATATTTATAATAAACAAAAGCGCTGATGCCTGACTGTACAGTGATTTAAGACCAAGGGAAAATCAAATGAGAAAAACATTCCACAGAAGGAATAACAATCCTTGGGAACTAACTTTTTCTGAAGCATGCAAACAGGCAATCTCCCACTGTTTATACTTCACTTCTCCCTGTGTGGGTTCCAGGGCTCCATTGTAGAGAAAACAAGAATAGACTCACTGCTTTCCCAACAAGCATGTTGGAGGAGTCGACTAAATGGGAGCCTTAGAGGCAAATAACTAAGAGTCTGCATATGAATAAAAGCCAGATGTGTAAAACAGATGTGCACGCAGCAGTCAGGTTGTGGAACAAGATTAAAGTCTGGAGGTAAACAAACACCCAGAACTTTCTGCCAGAGTTTGGACACTGCCAGATACAAGAGGATCCTTACCCACTCAGGACTGCAGGTTGCACCAAGCACCACTTCTCTGGAGGCTGAAGTGGGTCTCTGGAATTTGCCATGTTTTTTTGCCATCAAGATTTTGTAATCTCAGGGTGTCGGACCTTTGAGCAGCAGCCCGGAGAGGGGTAAACACCCAGTCTTTTATTTAACAAGTCAGTCATGAGTTGAGATGATGAGATTCACATCTATAATAAATGGAAGAACTTCTTTTTTTAATATATATATTGAAATTTATCCACATTTGTTGTCGTAATATGCTATAATAAAGAAGGATCGTACTTGATGTGGTGTCTTGTCTTACTCTACTCAAAGACAATGTTACTTACTGGTTACTTAAGGAGATGTGATAACTTGTCACAAGTGTGTGATGTATAGTGGTGCTCTTGTTTGGGTTGGCCCTATTTTTGCTACAGGTATAATCGCAATCAATATGTGCCATGCCAGTGAGAGTGAGCAGTCATTAGTGAATCCAGCATATGGGTGGAGGACAGACTTTTATATACATTTATAATTAAACCCCCTGAACACTTGGCAAGCGTGCGATATCCTCGGACAGATGGCATACGTCATTGGGGTCTAGCTTGTGACATTTGAATGCCTTATGCATTGATTGCCTGTGGATATTTCTGAATTGTTCTGGGACTATTTGTTTGTTCACCAGTTTTTCAAATAGACAGTCAGGGACATTTCATTTGATTTTCACTGGCACAGGAACGGAGCAAGTATGGGGTGACCTGATTGAAGTGAAGTTAAAACCTTGACTAAGACCAGGACTTATGATGTACGACTAAAGGCTATATTTAGAGTACCATTTATGTGTTCATGCATTCACCTGCAGGATCACAGTATTCAAGGATTTTCATTTGCTGTATTCTACATTGAGTATACAGCAGTGTTGGTTTCTGCTGTACTTCAGTGCTTTAACACGTATATCCCAGATTATAAGGTAAGCATTTACTGATATTTAGATTTAAGGTTTAGGTTTAAACAACAGACCAACATTATGGCACAAGGGCAGTTACCATAGGGCTCCTTTCTACTTCTAAATCAAGCCTGAGTCCAAAGAATCTCAGCACGGTGCTCGAACTCCGTAGCACCGGCGAGGATCCTAAAAATACTTTTTCAACTCTAAATTTTGCCCGGGCAGCGCCGTTAGACTAATCTTTTCGATTTCCAACTGCTAAGGGATTTTTAAAGTGTGCAGCAATACACACAGGCGTCCGATCTTACTACCCAGACCAGGGAAAATTACTTGAAGTCCACATGAAAAAAATTCCATCCTTCACTGGGACCTCTAGCACTCGAGGTGGACAACATGCTCTGAGACCACTCAGTACTGATATAAATGATTTGATAATCTGCATAAAAAGCAGCCAGAACAACCATCAACATATGAACAGATCTGATGTGATACAGAATGACAGTCACCATTACAGCCCATCAAGTAACGGATGCAAACTATTTCTCACCAGGACACTTAATGACAGAAGTGGAAATTGATGATGCTTATAATGATGGCTAATGAACTGTGAAATTATTGTTTGTTTTCTTATTTGTTTGACGTCATAAGTCTTCAAGGTTTTTGTGTGCAAGACAACCTGTTGCCATTGATCTATCTCAATATGGACCCTTAAATAAGAGGCTATAGTGTATGTCTTTGCCTTAGAAGTTGCCAGAGTTTATTCCCAGCAGAAGGCTGGACATTTTATTAACAATAATTTTTAAAATGACATTATTTCTCTCCTCATTCTTGTGAATAGTGATCGAATTACTGAATTGAGAATCAGCATCATAGCACTCCAGGCATACCTATAGATGCTCTGTCTCCTGCAGCAAATGTCTTGAGGTTTAGATTTTAACCGTTCCCGCAGCACACTGATCATATGTACACACGTCGTTCTCCTCGTCTCCTACTTCATCCTTGCCAGATCCGCACCATATTTCTCATTGACACATGTTATTTCATATACCCTTGTGTCTTCTGTCAGGATTCGTTCATAAATGGTCTTCAGAATGTCTCCTTTGTCCAATATGTGTAGTCAGAAAGTCTGCTCTTTCATTCCCTCACATACCTGACAACAAAATCTACTATTTTAAATAGTGATATTGACAACCTAATCTTCTAAAGGGTGAAAGAAAGGAAGTCAGGTGTCCATACAGTGTTCACTAAACATTGGACAACAGTTTGAAATCAGTTCAGTTCAAAGATTAATTAAACAACACTTGGTGAGAGGCCACAACAGTATTGTTTCAGGATTCATAGGGATAAGGCAGAGTTGATAAAAATAAATCCAGCAAAAGGTATCTTGATTTCTCTTGATAAAACATTACTTAAAGAAATGAATTAAGATACATATTTGTGCAGCAGTGTTGGCAAAATTAGGGAAACTTATATAAAAAAAATACAAACTGCAGGAGTAGCTTCACTGTGCTCTGAAAATTTAGGAGAATAAAAAATAAAAATAAACGTAAAAGTAGATCTCAAGGTCTCTGCCAAAGGTGTAGGAAACAAAACCAACCCACAGGTAAATGAACTTTTATCTTGGATGAAAGCTCTAGAGTAAGTAAACTTTACACAAGTCTTCTTCTTCTTCTTCTTCTTCTTCTTCTTCAAGTTTACAGGTTGTAAACTCTGGCAAAATGTTCTGGTTGTTCATCTTCTTTTTCCTCTTCTTCTTCTTCTTTGTTGACCGGCTGTAAGCTTCTGTGGAAATTCCTGGTAATTCGTCCATTTGGACTTTGGCTTTGTGCCAGGGCCTAAATTATGCATATACATCTGTTTGTTCTAGCTAATTTGTGTGCAGCTGATTGTTCCTTGCCATTTGGGCAGATGCACTCCAACTTCGAAGGAAGAAACCAGTTAGTTGACTCCTACAACATGCTTGTTGTGGAGGGAGTGGGTCTATTCTTGTTTTTCCCACACTGGGGTCCCGGAACCCACACAGGGAAGTTGTTCATCAACTTCTGGACTTTAGTCTTGCTCCAGAACCTGATTTTTACATGCACATCTGGCTTATTTGAATGCAGTCTGTTGGTTCCTTGCCTCTCAGGCAGATGCACTGTTTCCTAAAAAAAAAAAACCCCATCCCTAATTAGTTGACGCTTATGACATATTTATTAGGGGGCAGTGGGTCTGTATATTTTCCCCCATAATGCGACCCTAGAACCCAAACATTAAGTTAAAAAGTCTATCCTGAAGTCTGCCGTTCTTACCTCTAAAAGGCATATTTGGTTTGGCTCACTCTCCTTGAAGCAGAAACGGAAGAAGAGACAGAAAAACTCTCTATTGCTCATTGATCTTGTCCAGTTTCAGAATATTTATATCCTTCATATTCATGTTGTTCTAAGGCTATGTTCTTTATGTGGTGCTTGTGTTCTTTCAGACATCATCACCGGAAGAATCAGCTGCAGTCTTGTCCAAGCTGACACTGTGGTGGACCACAAGGTAGACTGTCTACCCCAACTGTACAGTGACTGGATCTGTTTGTGCTGTCTACCCTCTCTAACTGTACAGTGTACTGGATCTGTTTATGTTGTTTATCACCTCTAACTGTACAGTGTACTGGATCTGTTTGTCAACTCTAACTGTACAGTGTACTGGATCTGTTTATGTTGTTTATCACCTCTAACTGTACAGTGTACTGGATCTGTTTGTGCTGTTTATCACCTCTAACTGTACAGTGTACTGAATCTGTTTATGCTAATTATAACCTCTAACTGTACTGTGTATTGGATCTGTTTGTGCTGTCTACCCCAGCTATCTGTACAGTGTACTGGATCTGTGTATGCTGTCTCCCTCCTCTATCTGTACAGTGTACCGGATCTGTTTGTGCTATCCCAACTATCTATACAGTGTACTGGATCTGTTTGTGCTGTCTACCCCCTCTAACTGTACAGTGTACTGGATTTGTATGTGCTGTCCACCTTCTCTATCTGTACAGTGTACTGGATCTGTTTGTGCTGTCTACCCCCTCTAACTACAGTGTACTGGATCTGTTTGTGCTGTCTACCTCCTCTATCTGTACAGTGTACTGGATCTGTTTGTGCTGTCTACCCCAACTATCTGTACAGTGTACTGGATCTGTTTGTGCTGTGTACCAGATCTGTTTGTGTTGTGTACCAATTCTTTTTGTACAGTGTACTGTATCTGTTTGTGCACATGTCTGTAAAAAGAAGCTGCACATACCAAATCACTGTCACACATCAAGCACAGTAATAATAAAAAAAAAACCAAAAAAAAAAAAAAAAACAGAAGAATGGATTTTATTTTAGTTCAATTAAAAATTTTAATTAAACAAATAGATCAAGCTTAAACTGTAGCAGCTTTGGCTTTAAGTAATGAAAAATATTTGTTTGTTTCCTTAGAATTTTGTCTAGTTTTGAGATAAATTTTTCTTTTATGTTTGTTTCATTTTGCACAGTATTAAAACTAAAAAGTCTCTGAAGTAGCAGCCCTACTAATTTTAGCTGCTAGTCGCCACTGGCATCAGACAAAGAACTAATGTTCCTCATGTGGGTTCAGGGGTCCCACAGAAGTTGGATGTGTTGGCCAGAAGGTGCAAATATCGCAGCCATGCTGTAAACGGATACAACGCAATTACATCTTCGGATGAAGGCAGAAGAAGACGAAGAATTAAAGCAGATTAGGCATGAAAGGTGTTTTATGTTGAATGAGTGAACACACAGCCTAATCTTGAAGCTGGAGAAAATCTGATCCCTGTATGTTGATTCAGATTAGTCATTCAAGGATACAAGCATCCTCTGACTGAGAGTGATATCTACCCACTGAACAAGAGCGAGAAAGCAGCAACTGTTGTCCCAGCATTCATTTCTCACTTGTCTCCAGCAGTTGAGAAGTAAGTTTGGATACACTGAGTTAGTTTTTATGTTTTTAATAAATAATCTTTGTGGAAGTTAGTTTTTAAAATTTGTCTTACTAGCAGTAGTGTTTATGTGGGCAAGCTTGTATAAGATTTGATTATTACAACAGTCAGTGTTTGTTTAGTGCTCATATGAGTATTAATGTTTCTTTAGTTCTCATATGATTATCAAAGTTTGTTTAGTTCTCATACGAGTATCAAAGTTTCTTTAGTTCTCATATGAGTATCAAAGTTTTTTTAGTTCTCATACGAGTATCATAGTTTCTTTAGTTCTCGTATGAGTATGTGTGCCTATGCTTTCTGTACTCTTTTTCTCTCCTCCCTTTCTCACTCTCACACACACTTACACACACACCTATGTACAGACATACATACAAGTACATATGAATGTAGGCACAAGCAGATATACAATCATATACAGTCATCAGTATATGTGTGCAGATACCCAGACCGGTACCAGTCTTCTTACGCATTTCTTGGTCTAACATGGTGATATTTCCAGGTATCACAGGAAGCAGAGGGAGAAGTCTCCACCAAAATCGTCACATGCAGCAGCAAAGTATGCTAAATATGCAGACACTGACAAGCAGCTACACCCACCATTGATAGACAGCGGTGAAATACAGAGCTCACTCAAGCAGAACTTTGAGAATGGGGACTCTACTCTTGATGGTGTCACTGTTGAGTTCAAAGATTCTGCCAGGGGGAAGTCAGATAAAAGACTTGGGGTCTTTCTTTGGAAGGTTTGGTTTCTTTTGTACAGCATTTTATATTAATATTTAAACAATGTATTGCCATCCCTATAATAAACAGCTGTGGTGTTTATGCGTATCTGCTGCTGTCTTTGGGAATATAACCAGGTGAAGCCCCCAAGAGCGAAAAAAAGAAGAAGAATCATGAGAACCTAATGTACCTCGTTGTAGATGTAAAGTTCGAGTATTGATACTGCACACCCTGCTGGTTTCTTGACTTGGAGAAGGAAAGGGCAATTCTGCAACACACTCACCATAGGAGGAGGGACTCGGGGTGCCTGATATTTCAGGTTCAGGTATCTATGCTTTGGTACCAGCTCAGGCAGAAAATGTCTGCTGCAACTCAGTGCAATAAATGGAAGGGCTCAGGTGACTTAAGTGCCCGTGCATCAGACTGAACGGTTTAACTTCGAATCCTTCTGAGAAATGACAAACAGCACATCTGGTAATTCTTGTTCTTGTCTTTAGTTGTTGAGTATTACAGCAGTCAGGGTCTGAATGGCTTTTGCAAATGATATCCCTTGAGCTAACCAAAAACTGTGTAATCTGATGCGATGTTTTTGTTAAAAATAAATCGTCATGTTCAGCCAGCATCCCCGAAGGGGGAGCTTTTGGTTTTAACAGTGACTAGGTTATGTGCGAAATATAAAATGGATTATCATTTCCCGCCACCAAAAGCCCTGAAAGCAGTGTTGATGCGATCAAAGAAGACAGACTCAAATACTGTCCTGACCCGTCACAAAGTCTTCTACTAGCAAGCCAATGGACGAGCTGATCACTGATGACGTGAAACTGTAATATCTACCAGACATACTTATATTGCTTCCTACTGCTGCTGTACGTCTATAACTTTCTCATTTCTCTTGTTCCTCTTATTTTCTATATGCATAAATCAATGTTTAAATAATTTTTTAAGTACTTCTGGTGGTATTAGGATTTTCTAAATTTGTTTCTTCTCTATTTGTTTCTTTCATCAGGTGATATTACATACATTCCGGAAGCAGCTAATCAGGTGTTGCCTAATTGATCTGGTGGTTCAGGCTTGTACTTTGACCGGTCCGCTGATAGTTAAGTAAGTATCACAACATGTTGACCATTAGATAGGTCTGCTCATTGTTAACTATCACAAAACATTGACCATTTGACCTGTCCACTAGCCGTCATGTTGTAGTGGCCAGACACTCACTTCTGGCCTGGAGTTCATGGGTTCAAATCTGTATAGTCTAAAAAAAAAATTGTCTTGACTCCCAGGTGAACCCAGCCTAATTTGGATAGCTGATAAAGTCCTGGGAAGTAAATGCGGTCAGCATGATGTTAACCACACCGTTCACTGAGTACCGCTTGGTCTATAAAATATTTCAGCGCTGCATACCCAATACGCCTAATGAGGTGGAAATGTTCTTCATTTTGACTTCTCTCTAGGGATTTTGATTCCCTATTTTGAGGGACAGAAGAATAGACTCACTGCCTGCAACAAGCATGCTGTAGGACAGGGCTGTTCAACTGGCAGCCTGCAGGCATACTCTGGCAGGCAGGGTTACCTGCCAATTATGTTGTATTGTTGATCTTTCGATGCTGAAGCTTGGGCCACTGTCGTATGGCAGTTTTGTCGCGCACCTTTACTTACGGAATATTTTCACAAATCCCTCAGGTGCTCTGAGACAGGGGTGTTTTGAATGGTGGCTCTCGTTCGTCTAGAGCCCTATCTACAGCAGTTGGTGTAAGAATCCGGCTCACGTATGCGGTGAAGTGGTCAGACAATTTATTTTAAATAGGCGTAGAAAATGTGTCCTAACGTGTAAATCGACACTAAAAGCCTAAAAGAATCAATCTAAGAATGAATGATCTGGATTTTTCCTATCTGGACTCCCCCACAACAAACGAACTATATAAATACGGTCGGCCTATCCGATATCATAGTTACAATGACGATTTTGGGGGTGTTCAGACTGTGGACCTGTCCAATGCGGTAGATGTGTGTATCCTGTTATACGACAGCCACTTGTCCAAGAAATCACTTTTTTCCAACATTTGGGCCCCTGGGTACGCTTAGTTAAATTGCACTGTCGTAGGAGATGACTAATGAGAGGTATTTCCTTTAAAATCAGAGTGCATCTGCCTCAGAGATGAGGAACCAACAGTCTGCATACAAATAAATAAGACAGATCAGTCTTGGCAAATAAGCAGACTTGCCACTTAGCTACCACATTTGCCATGTAACAAAAACACATTAATATGTGTTTTCAATCTTCCTTTTTTTCCAGGCTGTTAATTGAATTCATGTCACAATTTCTGTCATGTGACAAGGGCATATTAAAATGTGTTTCCAGTCTTCCGTCTTTCCAGGCTGTTGATTGAATTCATGACATCACATCTGCCATGTGATAAAAACATATTAAAATGTGTTTCTAATCTTCCATCTTTCCAGGCTGTTGATTGAATTCATGTCCAATGAGGATGAGCCAGACTGGCATGGATATCTGCTAGCTGTTGTTTTGTTTGTGGGATCAACAACCGGTCAAATGTTGTTTGATTTTTATAAATTTCAGACCAACAAATTTGGCATTAATGTGAGAACCGCACTTTTCTCAGCAATATACAGAAAAGTAAGTCAACTGAAAAGAACTTTTCCTTTCCTTGGAATGCATTTTGTATATCAGTTAGTTTATTGAGGGGCCAACATTGTGAAAATAGGGATAGTTGCGGGTCAGAAGTCCGAGCCCATCATAGAAAGATCATAAACATAATACAACTGGCAGTGATCTGAGGGGCTCACTTGCTAGGCCTCTGCTGACTGTCAGTTAAATAGCTCTGCTGTGTACGATGTTAGACTCATATAGACCAGTAGATATTACATCTACGCCAAAGTCACCCAAGAGAATTTTAATGATTTTCATCTTAGTGCATTTGTTTGTCTATTTACGGTGTGCTAAAGACACACATGTGAATTCCTACTCTAAACAGGTCAAAAGGAAGTATTATTTTTAACACAACTTCACAATTTTTATCAGTATCAGCAATATGCCAGACTTGGACATTATCAAAGGCTAACTTACGTGAAATTAACACCTGGGAAATGAAATACCTGAGAAAAGCCGCCAGTTAACCATCCTAGATAAAGTTAGACATAATATTATCAGACGGGACACCATGCAACAGATTCATTGTCCTCTAGTAAGAATCCAGCCAGAACAACTATCAGTGCACGCACTTCACATGAAAAGATCTTATGTGAAAGCAAGAGGTTGCCATAGGAGAAGATGGATTGATGACATTAAAGAGCTTCTACATTGCTGCCCATCAAGCAGTGGATCGCAAACTGTTCCTCCCCATGATGCTTAACGGCAGAAATTTATGACGATGATAACACAATTTTTATTTTCCAAAATTAGAATTTTCTGAAAGATCTCAATGTTCCACACAGTTTTCTTGAAACAAAGATATAGCAAAAAGGTGAATTTGACGGCTGCCTTTACTTTCCAGAACATTCTCTGTGACCTTTTTTTTTGAATGAGTTGACCTGGATGCTCAGGTCAACTCTTAAAATAATCATCACTTTAATGAGGATTTGAACACATGATCATCGTGTTGACAAGTAATGGTGCTAGCCACTGTTTCATCATGTCTTCCTTGAGAAGGGTATATAGTTGGTTATGTCATCACAATTGATGTCACTGCATATTGGGCATTGTGTTGTTATGCTCAGTCCTGTAATGTAGCAACTACTCCAGGGTACCTCTGCTGTAGGGCTTTTCAACAGATGCCCCATGGGCCAAATCTGGCCCGCATAGGCCTTGTAAATGGCCTACAGTGCCAGTTGTATTAATGATCTTTCAATGCCGAGGCCTCTGGCCTGTGACGATCCCAATTTTCCAACATTTCAACCCCCCGGGTAAACCTAGTTGAATGGCCCTGCTCTGCTGGTTGTTTTTGTGTGGAGTTAAGTTATGTCTCCTATCTTGGCCATGAAAGCGACATAGGCGTGCTTCACCGTGCTTTATTCTCAGGTTATACACTTGTGTCAGTGTAAAGATTTGTCATCATCCTCTAGCCTAGTCTGTATGGCATTGATGATGTCTGCTATGTATGTGCAAAGCCTTCTCCAGATTAATAGGCCTAGGTGCTGACGTAGTCAGCTTGACGTGAAGAATATCTACAGTTAAAATGTAGCTGTAAAGCTGTTTATGTGGGCAGAACTAATCGGCGCTTGGAGAAATGAGTCGCTGAGCACATTCCAGTATGGGTGGAAAAAGCCATGCAAAATAATATTTAGAATGAGAATACTGGCCGCAAAAATTATCCCTCTGCAAAAGCACACCATCTTCTAAAATCTGTACATATGGTAACGAAGGAGAACACTTTTCATTTCCTTCGTATGTCAACCAATGGCAGAACGCTAAGATTTCTTGAAGCTTCTGCGATTCGTCACCTGCACCCGGAACTCTGTACACAGAAAGATATGGTTCTGACTTTACGGCAGCCCTGGTAAAACAGGCAGTCATGTTTGATCGTTGCTGAATTTGTACTTCAGTTTTTGATTAAAAGACTTCTTGATTTAAAAAAAACAGACTTCTTGATTGACTAACAGACCTCCTGATTGATTATCAGATTTCATGATTGATCAACAGACATTATGCCTCAGCAGTGAAGCCAGACAGAAGTTATCATCCGGGGAGATAGTCCAGCTGTTATCCAAGGACTGTGATGCCATTGGCCATTTGAGTGATGAAGGCTTTATTTTGGTCGAATGCCCGCTTGAGCTTATCATCGGTCTGATTCTTGTGTATAGAACTGTAGGAGTGGCCATGTTTGCAGGTGAGTTTTGAGGTGTTTGCCTGTGTGTGCTCTTTCTAGGCTAATGTTAATCTTTAAAAAAAAACATTCTTTCCTGGTTTGCACCTTGAAAGATTGACACCCATTGATTCAAAGTGCTCTCTCTCTCTGTCTGTCTCTCTCGCTCTCTCTCTTTCTCTCTCTCTCTATGTATATATTTATGTATATATATGTGTGTGTATATGTATACATACATACATACATACATACATACATACATACATACATACATACATACATACATACATACATACACATACATACACACACACGTACGTACATACATACACACACCTGCACACACACACACGCACACACACACACACATATAAAATAGAGATAGATGAAAGGTGCAGTACTGGATTCCATCCATGATGTTAAAACATTTGCACCCGATAGATTGGAATGGAAGATAAAACTGCAAGCCCTAGGTGAGCATGTGAGGTATAACTGCTTACCTGGATAATGATGATGATGATGAGATATGTGTAATTGAAAATTGTGCCTATGAGGTTTATAAACACACAGGCATAATGCACACTCACTGTCTGTGAGTATATCACATGCACATTAGCACATGTCTGCTGCCTATGTCTTCAAACATGCATAAAAGTAAAGGTAAAGTTGGGAGATGTGAACCAGCATCACTGCACATGGTTTAAACCATAAGTGCTCTGCCACCAGTACGGACAGCTGACAAAAAACTGTCCCCCTGTGTCGCCATCCGCACGCAACTCAGTAGCTACAGCGACCCTTCATTTACTCCGAAGTGCACATAACGCACATATCTGCTGGCTATGTCTTCATACATGGATATAGTCTCCATCAGGTTTAAAAACACACATGCATAATGCACTCTCACTATCTGTGAGTATATCACATGCACATATCTGCCTGTGTCTTCATTCATGCATATTGCACTCTCACTGTCTGTGAGTATATCACATGCACATATGAACATATCTGCCTATGTCTTCATTCATGCATATTGCACCCTCACTATCTGTGAGTATATCACATGCACATATGCACTTATCTGCCTGTGTCTTCATACATGCATATTGCACCCTCACTATCTGTGAGTATATCACATGCACATATGCACATATCTGCCTATGTCTTCATACATGCTTATTGCACCCTCACTATCTGTGAGTATATCACATGCACATACGCACTTATCTGCCTATGTCTTCATACATGCATAATGCACCCTCACTATCTGTGAGTATATCACATGCACATATGCACTTATCTGCCTATGTCTTCATTTATAGATATATCTAAATGTAATCATATCAGTACACATTGTCATTCTCAGGTCTGGCAACACTGGGTGTGCTCATTGCTATCAAGGCAGTTACAACAAAAAGGCATGCCCACTACGACAGACTGCTGATGAAATACGCAGACGAAAGAATGAAGATTGCCTCCCAAGTCTTCAGTGGAATCAAGGTTGAAAAAAATTGTTTTTTGTTATTTTTTGTGTCTCATAACTTATAAAAACAATATATGACTATTTTTCTGTTTTCAATTAAAATTTTTGAAAAAGTTATTCTCTCAACATAAAAAAGAAAACTTTAAATAATGAATATCCTAGATAAAATTTTAATTCAAAATTTCAGTGAGATCCTCTGGGTAACAATGGTTTAGTTCTATCTGCTGGTTTCATATTTACAACCAAATCTAACCTGAGATGTTGGAATTATGAAACCATGCTTAATGGTTAATCCTAAACCTCAGATGCTGGCGGCCCATGAAGACGTTACAATTTTACCTGACCATATTTCGTCACCAACAATATAAGAAAGGACAGGGTTATGATACCAGCACTAGAGAGAAAGTTGGAACAAGAATATGTATATATATATTTACAGACAAAGAACGGTTCGGTTTTGTAGTGAGAATGCTGCCAGACCAGATTGCATGAGGGACTTTTTACGGCAGAACATCTCAGGGTAAGGCGAGGGGAAAACCAAAAAAGAGTGGATAAATTGTAAAGCTGAAACCGGTCTAAAGATGAACAAATTCACCACCAAAGACGCCTGAGAAGAGCAAAAAACATACAGAAAACCATGACTGGGCTACAGCCTGGTATCAGTGAGACATCAAAAGAAGAAGAAGAAGATATCTGATCTTCTTAAACATCATGCTAGACAGTTAAAACATAACACACACAGCATTGAAATTATCACTTTCAGTTAACTCTGTGCCGAACTGAAAGAAAAACCAAGCCTACTCTGACACTTGCCATTTGTGCATTGCCACAAGGTATTGTCACCATCATTCCACAATTGTATATTCTTCTTCATCATCTTCTTCTTCTTCTTCTTCTCCTTCTGCTTTTTATCTTTACTGGTTGGGATGTTGATTCGTGGTTTACAACTAGGCCTATTATAGAATTGACCCATCACCACCCTAATAAGTATGTCGAAGGAGTCAATTAACAAGGGCTTTCCTTTGAAGTTGGAGGGCATCTGCCTGCCAGGCATGTAACCAACAGTCTGCATACAAATAAGCCAGATCTATTAAACAGATTTGCATGAAAAACTCAAGTTCTAGAACTGTCCAGAAGTGGACAAACAGCCAAAACTTTCTGCCGGAGTTTACAGCCGGTGACTGCAAAAAAGTAAATTTAACAATAGAATTTAGCACTAAACACTGCCCAATGATTTGCAGAGCCACCAGCTGTGTACATAGTTACAGTAAAATGTATTGTCTCATTCAGATGACACCCTCATCGTATCATAATGCAATATGCTGCACGCGGAGCTTAGGTTTGTAACAGTTGCTATCAATCAGTTTCTGTGATCTACAGGTCTTGAAATTGTATGCCTGGGAGGAAGCTTTCAAAAATCGTATCAATGTTATACGCAAAAAAGAATTAGCAGCCATACTTCAGTATGACTTGTTTAGGTTTTTCATTACTTTTGCCTGGACAGGAGCAGTCTTTTGGGTAAGAGTTCAAGTTTAGAAGTGCCTGACTTATGTTAACAATGCTTTAGTATGTTTATGTGGGTGTAATATGTAAATGTTACAGTTATCATTAACATCATATACCTTAAGTGAGAATGGCCATCGTTTAGCATCACACGATCACCAGCCTCAGATCAAGTATATTTTCTTGTACCATTTATTGTTTGTGGCCACCAGGTATTTGTCACTTTGTTCTCTCCTTACTTTCGGTGTGAGTTCTGGGAAAGGGGGGGGGGGTGACAATAATAAATGGACTGCCTCCCAAACAAGCATATCGTAAGAGTTGACTAACTGAGAGTTTCCTTCAAAGTCAGAGTGCATCTGCCAGAGAGGCAAGAAACCAACAATGTGCATCCAATGGTCTGCATACACGTATGGATATGCATGCAACACTCAGGCTCTGCAACAAGTTTACAGTCCACAGGTGGACAAACAACCAAATTTTTGACTGCAGTTTACAGCCTGTGAGCGCAAATAAAAAGAAAAAAAAACAAAGATTTGTTTCTACTCCTAACATGCTGACATTTAAAAAAATGTTTATGTTTTATTTCTCTAATGAGTTTGCTGAAATCATGTGCAGTTTTTACCCATGATGTATGTAAATGTTTCCACCCAGGCATTTAAACGTGTGCAGCAGCAATTGATCTAGAGGATAAGTACAACAGAATGGATTTCTTAAATGTTTCAGCTTCTTGAACTCAAAATAAGTCCATTCCTTCTCAGTTGGATCTCTGCAGAACTCTTTCAGTGCTGCATAGTGAAATTAGGAAGAAAAAAGGCAGCGGTTGAAAGGAAAATCATGCATGGGTCATGCCGAATACATTATTCAGCAGATGTGTTCACTTGAGGACATAGATGATCGTGAGAAATTGGTACAAGTGACATCAGAGTGCTGTATGACCAATTTGCATCTGATTAGGCAGAAAATGCAGTTTGGCTACTATAGAGGCAGAAGTTCAGGCTCTGATTTTTGAGACTCTATAGAGTGGCTTGCTGTCATTTACACAGGCATGTTTATGGTTTGCCACGTGAGAAGCTTGTGGGCTTTTACAGCTCAGGTTGGTGGGGATATTCTGAAGCAAGATGTTGATGCTGTTGCCTTGACCACAGTAGTCTGACTGTGGAGATCATGGCAATAACCAAAGCAGTGATGACTTTCTTTTATTTTCTATCTGGCTCGCATCATCGCACGCTTGCTATCTTCCATCGTTGTCCATGCACTCTGTTCCTGGGCCCAAACGAGACTGCCCCTCAGCCCTTTCTACGCTATTATATAGCCTTCTAATCCCCGCTTCGTTTTTCCCGAATACTCCGTGTCCCTTCTGTCTCACGAATTCCATTTGGCTGGAAGTGGTGCGTGGCATGAAGTTCGACAGTAAACATTTCTCTTCACGTGAATAATTATGCTTCACACAAAGTTTGACTATCAGCCTTTTTCTATACCCGTGAAGTTCAGACTCAACAATTCCCGTGCCGTCCCAGTTAGAGTCAAAATATTCCACTCGCATTTATTACTGACGTCATCTGTCGGGCATAAATTAACTGGGAGAAAATGTAACTCACTACACATGGGTGGAAACACAGACCTACATCCACAGATGGTTTCTCAGTTTTTATTTTTTTATTTTTTTAAAAATTTTTTTATTGATCACCGGCTGTGAATTCCAGTGGAAGGTCCCGGTTAATCGTCCGCTTGGACTTTTGGCTTTCACCTGGACCTGATTTTTGCGTGTACAACCGTTTTTCATTTTCCTGCCTCATGGGCAGCTGTACTCCGACTTCGAAGGAAGACGTCAGGCCTATTTCTAGGTTGACTGTGGCCATTGTTTTGTGTGGGTCGAGACGTTGCCTGATTTGTGTGGTGTCCACTTTGTCTCCTCCGCAGGTATTGCCCTCGGAGTACCCCTTTGGGGCAGCCCCCTGTGGAACCAGTTAGCCCTCAAGGGAATGCAGGGGCAGATCATGGGCATTCCCCGCCATCCAAGGAGGCTTCCATGCATGCAGAGCCGGCACATGGCGCTCTGGTTCTGGGCTCACCCAAGGAATCATCACGTCCTGCACATGCCTGCTTAACCTCACAACCGTATCAGGCCTCCCGCTTGACAGGGGCTGCGCCCTCTGGAAGTCAGCGGGGAGCAGCCCGTGGTTTTGGACTTTTGTGACCACACAGATAGGTACATTCTTTTTTTTCTTCGCACGTTAGATTTCTTTGACGAGCCGTTTAGCCCGACAGAATTTTACATCCTGCATCAGGCATATCGTTATCAGTTTTGTCCCAACACTCGGGCGAGTGGGGTCTTTTGGGGGTGTGGACATTCGGTCTTTTTCAGTTCAATACAAATTTTGATGGTCAGATTTTGATCCGTATGATCTAGTTTTTGTCGGACAATTAGGATGGTTGCTGTTGTGGTGTACCTCAGCGCGGTGACGACGACACTGGGGGGTTAACCGAGGATGTACAAGGATGGCCAGCCTATGGATGGTTGCTGTTGTGGTGTACCCCAGCGGGGTGACGACGACACTGAGGGTTAACAGAGGATGTGCAGTGAACAATGTTCTCTTATGTTCTCTTTACCCGCAGTCTTTTAACCAAGGGTTGTAATTTTGGCTGTACGTTTGGCAAACCTACTCATGTTCCTAATGAGTTTGATAACATTTTTCACCCAAGCGTTTGGGGGTGGGCTGATGAGAGCCACAAGGACACATCACCTCTAGGGGCCGCCGAACTCAGAGATCCCCTGACAGCTCTGTTAATGCTCATTTGAGACATTATCCGTGGCGCACGACGAGGACGTGCTGTAGGGGTCTTGCGTGAGGTTCCGTTCAACCAGGATAGTTAAGGACTGGCGCCCGAGTGACGTACGGAGTATCTCCTTATACACATCATGTTGGACTTAACTTCCCCTCACGCCTGTGACATAAATCACCGCGCCACGGTTTCTCAGTGACTTTATGAGTATGCTGAGGAAGACAGAGATGGGCTGGGTCCGAAGAGAATGGTTGGGCTGACAAAGATCAATTCGTGCTGGGTACGCAGGTATATAAGGAAAAGAGCAAGCTGATAGGCTTGCAGGTGTGGCTACTATGGAGGGCGAAGAAGCCATGAACTAGGCTGATATACTGTATGCTGTACAAGAAGTAAGATGTTTGCAAGAACCAAGTGATGACTGAATCTGCAACCATGGCCAGACTGCAAGAACAGTATGTTAAAAGGGGGGTGGCCAAACAAGAGCACCATGCAGGAAGTCGAAGAAGAATGAGAAATAACCCTGGACTGGTGTCGTCAGCTGCTACACACTGCAGGATTTACTGAGAAGGGGGTCAGCTCACTTATGGACTTCTTGTTCTTTTTGTTCTTATTCTTTTTTTTTTACATGAAAAAAATGTCTGCAATGTTGTCTCTAATATGAACTGGGCAGTCTTTTTCAATTATCTCAGCAGCCAGTAAAGTTGAGCTTCCGCTAGGATAATTTGTCAACTAACTAACTAACTAACTAATTAACTAACTAACTAACTAACTAACTAACTAACTAACTAACTAACTACTAACTAACTAACTAACTAACTAACTAACTAACTAACTAACTAACTAACTAACTAACTAACTAACTAAAACTAACTACTACTAACTAACTAACTAACTAACTAACTAATAACTAACTAACTAACTAACAACTAAACTAACTAACTAACTAACTAACTAACTAACTAACTAACTAACTAACTAACTAAACAACTAACTAACTAACTAACTAACTACTAACTAACTAACTAACTAACTAACTAACTAACTAACTAACTAAACTAAACTAAACTAAACTAAACTAAACTAAACTAAACAAAACTAAACTAAACTAAACTTACCTTAACTAACTAAACTAACCTAACCTTACCTAACCTAGCCTAACCAAACCTAACCAAAAACAACCAAACCAAACCTTACCAAACCTTACCTAACCTAACCTAACCTAACCTAACCTAACCTAACCTAACCTAACCTAACCTAACCTAACCTAACCTAACCTAACCTAACCTAACCTAACCTAACCTAACCTAAACTAACCTAACCTAACCTAACCTAACCTAACCTAACCTAACCTAACCTAACCTAACCTAACTAACTAACTAACTAACTAACTAACTAACTAACTAACTAACTAACTAACTAACTAACTAACTAACTAAACTAAACTAAACTAAACTAAACTAAACTAAACTAAACTAAACTTACCTTAACTAACTAAACTAACCTAACCTTACCTAACCTAGCCTAACCAAACCTAACCTAACCAAAACAACCAAACCAAACCTTACCTAACCTAACCTAAACCTAACCTAACCTAACCTAACCTAACCTAACCTAACCTAACCTAACCTAAACCTAACCTAACCTAACCTAACCTAACCTAACCTAACTAACTAACTAACTAACTAAACTAACTAACTAACTAACTAACTAACTAACTAACTAACTAACTAACTAACTAACTACTAACTAACTAACTAACTAACTAACTAACTAACTAACTAACTAACTAACTAAACTAACTAACTAACTAACTAACTAACTAACTAACTAACTAACTAACTAACTAACTAACTAAACTAAACTAAACTAAACTAAACTAAACTAAACTAAACTAAACTAAACTTACCTTACCTTACCTTACCTTACTAAACTAAACTAACCTAACCTAACCTAACCTAACCTAACCTAACCTAACCTAACCTTACCTAACCTAGCCTAACCAAACCTAACCAAAAACAACCAAACCAAACCTTACCTAACCTAACCTAACCTAACCTAACCTAACCTTACCTAACCTAGCCTAACCAAACCTAACCAAAAACAACCAAACCTAACCTAACCTAACCTAACCTAACCTAACCTAACCTAACCTAACCTAACCTAACCTAACCTAACCTAACCTAACCTAACCTAACCTAACCTAACTAACTAACTAACTAACTAACTAACTAACTAACTAACTTAACTAACTTAACTAACTTAACTAACTTAACTAACTTAACTAACTAAACTAAACTAAACTAAACTAACTAACTAACATGTGGAACACTGTTATGTAACTGCTGTATTAGTTTATGTGTGCATGGCTATGTTTGTCTAATATATTTCCCACTTTTTTATTTACAGATGCTGTTCTTCACCTTCCCAACCCATGTCTTGTGGATGAACAGCACCATCTGAAAGCCTCCACTGTCTTTGTCACCATGGCCTACTTGGTGTACATCCGTTCGGTCTGCAAACCCTTCTAGCTGCTGTTTTTGCGACATCATCATCAGTGTAAGTTTCTTAACTGATATAAGAGTAGACTATAGGGAAAGTTCTTCCATGTGTTACTTCTTAGTTCA